AAATGTTTCAGACGTTAGGCCATAAACTAATAAATAATAAATTAACTTTGATCAAATAAAAGGCAAATATCGAGCACAGTTTAATTAATTTAATCTTGCCCAAGTACTTTCGCTCCGTAGAGCATCTTCAGCAGCAATTTTTAAAATAGGCGAAGCTACATTATGTTTGGAAGTCGGATATAGTCGAAGAAATAGGTTTAACTGCTTTCAGTATTGTCTTCTTCTCTAATATGGTTTGTTTTTTACTCTTTGCTTTTGTCTATGTTGGTGTGTTTCCTTTTTCTTCTTCTTCAAGTGCACTGTCCGTTGCAAATGTTGGCTATTAACATGGCAATTTTGATCTTGTTTGCGGCGCTTCTGAATAGTTCGACCGATGTGAGCCCGAACCACTTCCGCAGATTTTGGAGTCACGAGTGTCTTCTCCTGCCTGGCCCTCGCTTACTGTCTATTTTTCCCTGGACAATCAATTGTAGCAGACGGTACTTATCTCAATATGTGGCCTAGATATTCAAGCTTTCTCTGTTTAATTGTATTCATGATTTCTTTCTCCTTTCCGATTCTTTGGAGTACCTCTATGTTAGTGACATGTTCGGTCCAGGATATACGAAGAATGCGTCGGTACACCCACATTTCGAATGCTTCTAGTTTTCTCGTTAACGTCTCCGTCAGCGTCCAGGCCTCCACGCCATACAGCAAGATCGGAAAAATGTAGCATTTAACTAGACGTAGTTTTAGGGGAAGAGACAAATCCTTGCTTATGAGGAGCTTTTTCATATTGCTAAATGCTGCTCTAGCTCGTTCTATTCTCGCCTTAATTTCTATGGTCTGTTCCCATTTTGCATTTACGTTGGTGCCAAGGTACACATAAGATTCTACATGGTCAATTAGTAGGTTACTTATCCGTAATTGTCTGGCAGGTTGTTGCTTTTTGCTTATCAGCATCCACTTTGTCTTCTTGAAGTTGAGGCTCAGGCCGTATTCCTCACTAACTGAATAAAGTCTTTCCATTACTTGTTGTAATTCCTCTATGGTACTGGCAAGGATCACCGTGTCGTCGGCATATCTTATATTGTTCGTTAACTCGCCGTTTATTTTTATGCCCTCATTTGCATTTTCCATACATTTGTTATATATTTCCTCGGAATATATATTGAATAGGAGTGGGGAGAATATACACCCCTGACCGACACCTCTTTTGATCTGCACGCTTTCAGTGAGTTCGTTGACAATTTTTGCTCTTGCTGTTTGACCCCAGTATAGGTTTGCCACAACTCGAATGTCCTTGTCGTCACTACCTGTCTTTCGCAGAATACCTATCAATTGTTCATGATTGACATTGTTAAATGCTTTTCTAAAATCTACAAAGCACAAATACACGTCTTTATCAACGTCTCTACACCGCTGTATAAGCACCTGAAGAGCGAAAATTGCTTCTCTAGTTCCAAGTGCTTTCCGAAAACCAAACTGCGATCTATCAATATTTGACTCACATTTATCATATATTCTTCTATCAATGATCTTAGTGAACGCTTTAGTGACATGATTGATCAAGCTTATAAGCCGGTAGTCATCACAAATCTGACCATTTGGTTTCTTCGGAATTGTAATAAATGTTGACTGCAGCCAGTTCTCCAGGATTTTACCGCTATTATATATGTTGTTAAAAAGTACAACTAGATTATCAAGGAACTGTTTGTCTGATTTACATAGGATCTTTAATATTTCGCAGGGTACATTGTCCGGACCTGCTGACTTATTGTTTTTTAGTGCTGCAATGGCATCTTCTATCTCCGATTTAAGGATTGAAGTTCCTGTTTCTCCTTCTCCATATAGGTGATCATCAGTCCTGTCAGATGCAAATAATTTTTCTATTGGTGACTTATTGAATTTCCTCTTGTTTGTCATCGATTTTATTTCTTTGTGCGTATTGTAACTGTCGTATTTTCGTTCGTATTGTTCTATTTCCCTGCATTCGTTGGAAAACCATTTTTCTTTGGCTTCTCGAATTTTCGTTCTTATGGTTTTGTGGATCTGCTGGTATTTTTCTGCATTTTTATTCTTGAATTTACGTCTTTCATCCATCATATCCATTATCTCATCAGACATCCATTCTTTCTTTTTCCGTCGGTCACGCTTTAATAGAGTCGCGCATGTTGTTTGGATTGCTTCCCTGGATTTATCCAATCTCTCTATTATGTCCGACGTGTTCTCGTTACTGTCCTTTATTTTCTTTCCTAGTTGTTCTCGTACTTTTATTTCGGTTTCTGGGTTAGTGCGTTTTTTAATATCGATTGTGTTTAAATTAGATCTTTTCTCGAGCCGTTTTACACTCATGACCATTCTGCATACCAACAAATTGTGGTCCGTAGGAACATCGGCACCTGGGTACGTTTTTGATAATTTTATCATGTTTTTATATCTTGTTGGTACTGCTATATAATCTATCTGATTTCTAATGATGTTGTGAGGTGAGTCAGCGGGGGATTTCCATGTGTAAAGTCGACGTTTGGGGAGCTTAAAGAGTGTATTACTTAACAGCAGGTTATATTCCTGGCATAAGCATATAAGTCTATCACCTATATCGTTTCTCTCCCCTAGCCCGAAGTTTCCCACGATCTCATTCACCTTGCCTCTGCCAACCTTTGCATTGAAATTTCCCATCACTATTGATATTTTTTCCTTTTTTCCTTTATATACAGTTATTTTCTGCTTGTATATTCCTTACACTTCTCTTGCTCTGCTAAATGTTAATATCAGCGTCATAGTTGTGTGTTAATAACATTAGGCTGAATAATTAGATATTCGAGAGCCAGGATCATCAACAGAAACAGCCCATGGGCTTTTTTCATCGATTATTTGAAAGCTTTTAGTATGTTGTTAACATATTTCTAGGATACACGTAAGCTATAAATGTGGTCTTCTATTTATATTTCATCACCAGTCTAGTATTTTCATCAAGTTTCTCTATTTTATTTAGATGTTTTCTAAAGTACAATTCCACAATCTGGAAGAGTGATTTCATCGTTTATACGCCGTTTTGTTACATATTTAAATTTATAACAAAAATTGATATTTTACATTTCATTCCTATTGCGTTTCAAAGTCTTGACAACTTGGGAATTTATAAATCATCGTAACGGTAACATCACCGCACTTGCCAAAGCAAGAAACGTTCATTTACGTAAGCGGTGCTGACAGGAGTGCTTCTGTTGTATTCGTCCGATCTTTATGGATGTTATGATCTCGGGTTCATTGTATGCTGTGTATAGTTTAAAGTTATATCTTCTGCGCCATATGTCATTTTCCTTTACCCCCTTATATATGTGTCTAAGGATTTTGTTGTTTTACATTATTAGTATTTCTAATTTGTAATGGTTAAGTTACCGTTGGATAGAAATTAGAAATTAGAAATACTAATAATGTAAAACAACTTCAAATTTATAACATTTAAAGGGTTTTTACCCATATATTTTGGTGGCTACTAGCATGTACAACCGTTTGCACTGATGATGGATTGTCTAATCCGAAAACGTTTTGCAATGTGTTTGTGATAGCCCGTTTGAGGCATTTTTATATACCTTTTATAAAGGATTTTAAACAAATTTTTTTTTGTGATATATGGTATACAACCAGCTACAGGAACTTAGTTTCCTCGTGGAATTTTGGATTGTATCTGTTAGTTCGTTTTGAATTCGAATTTTGCTTTGTACTTTAAATGTTTCTTTCACTATATCAATGAGTTGAGTTTAGATATTAAACTCTTTCAGCGCATGGATCAGAAATTCTCGATGAATGCTATCATAGGCACTCTCAAAAACAATGAAAATATGATCTGTGTCTATATTAAATTCACTAGTCTTTTTCAAGATTTGCCTCAAGACGAAGATCTGATCTATGTTGGACTTCTGCTTGCGGAAACCACATTGATATTCACCAACTATTTGTTTCGCAGATGGTCTCAATCGGTCATACACAATATTTGACAGTATTTTATACCACAGTCAATAGCGTTATTGCCCGGTAGTTTTTGCGTTGAAGCTGATCTCCCTTTTTATTTAGTGGGATAATTACTCCGGTATTCCAGTTTTGTGGCAGTTGTTTATTATTTCATATGTTCACTATTAGTTCGTGTAACGCATTCAATTGGGAGTCTCCACCTTCTTTTATTAATTCTGCGCTAATGTTGTCTAATCCAGGTGACTTGTTGTTTTTCAGTCTAGTAACTGCTTCTTGCATTTCAGCTACTGAAGGGAGGTTGTTTCTCTGGTATCCATTTGATTCAGTATAATTCCATCATATAGTGCATCTTCGTTTTTTTTTAACTTTTTTTTGAAGAATTCTGTCCATCTTTGTAGTATTTCACTTTGTTGAGTTACTATATCTCCTTCTTTTTCTCTACACATCATTATTTTTGGTAGTTTTTACCCCATCATTTATAGGGTGAACAAATTTCACTGTTATTTTTTTAAGATGTTCCTACCAAAGATATATTGGAAAAATTGATTTTCATTTTGTAACTTCAAAGACTGTAACTTTTTATATGTGCACATAGGTTCAGTAGAACTATTTTGGTCCCAGAATATGTGATTTAATTTATGAACTACCTTTTTTATACGCCCTATATATTACAATTACAAATACGATAATGTATTACAAATATAAAATGATAAATTTAAAGATTATTTTAATAAAAATTGTAATAACAAACTATTATATATTTTAAAAAATCTAATTCCGAGCCTGAACATCACTGGGAAATTCCCTTTGATGCAATACCTCCTGAAGCATAACGTAGAGTAAAAATCGCTAAGTAGTTGATAGACTGATATCCAAGAAACCAAATGTTGAACCTCGTTGATAATCTAAACTCTACAGCAGTGTAGAGATCAAGTAAATATAAACAAACACAGAGGCAGAATATAACAAAACTGCCTAAACAAGTTTGAGGTCAAGAAATCAAGATTTATCAGCTACAGGCCGCCAATTATTGTAAACGGTTTAGTATTCCTATCATTAGTGTAGCAAAATGTTGTTGAGATTTTTTATATTGGGTAAGTGAGACTATTTTTTTATTGTGATTATTGTGTCTGCATTTTTAGTAGGTACATGCAAAATATGGCGCTTGACATTTTATTTGAACTATAATCCACAAGTTTACTTACACTAAAATCTTGCGTGAATGGAATCAAGGTTATTGAGACATTATGAACCTGCCATTGAAATTACTGCTTTGATGTAACCAATGCTAATTAATATTTGTTTATGAATGTAAGGTGTTATTGAAAACCAGGTCGGTTGTATTGTGGACTTTAATCCTAACCTTAAAATGTTAAATGTGTTTTTACTTCCATTAGAATTTTTAATTGTATCAAAATTTTTATTGTAGTATATAACTAATAATATTTGCTATCTTTAATAGGAAGTTATCTCAATTTTTGTTTCGATTTTCACTTCGGAATTATTTTGAAAACGTTTATTAGTAAATAAATTAGTAAATAACATAAACAATAAAAATTCTAAGTAACATAAACATGCCAAAAAAAAGTATCTTCAGAGCAATACCAATAAATGCTAAATAAATAATATTTAACTGTATAAAAATTCTGATATTCGATAAAATATTTAATGATAACTAATTTGCTAATACAGTGTCGGTCAATTATTTCTGGCTAAACTGGAATTTAACACGTTCGCTGCCAAAGGGTACTTAAGTTTCCTCCTTATAGACCATGTATAGGTTATGTCAAATATTTGAAGAAGAAAGCTTTACTTACCTCTTCGTAATTTATAAAACCGGATATAAGTATTTAATTATTGAGGGATTTTTTGATTCGGCTCTCATATAAGATGATTATTTGAAAAAAAGCATAAAGTATCTACTCGCTGCCTTCATGGTATTCTCAAAAATAAGGGTTCACACATAGCCCACTCATTTTTCTTTAGAGTTTTCACTAACAAAAACGTCTGGGTTCTTTTATTTTTTCAAGACAAATTCGGCATTCTCTTTTTTTGGGGTAATGTGTTGTGCGTTTTGCCTTTTTTCTTGATTTGCGTAAATTTTGAGGTTGAGTTGAGTATAATTAACTCTCTAAATTGTAAGTAGGTAACTTTTTTGTTCCTAGCCTTACTGTGCAAATATGTGCCATTCCTTAAGCATAGATCCAGAAAATGCAAAAATATTTTTATGTACTACCTTATAGTTTTTTTTTTTTTTGGTGTGGTTTAATATAAGAGCATTTGTTCACTTATGTCCACACCAGATGTTTTTCTGTCATAGTTGATTACCACACTTGGTTTTTCTTTTTTCCCTTGTTTATTAGTAACTTTCTCAGATGTATGTCCATGCAACTTCGTTTTCTTAAGCACATTACGCTTATCCTTTCACTTTTACATCATATTTTTCTTATTTCTGAAAATGCTCTCACCTTTAAGTAATTTAGAGTTTACTACTCCTTTTAAGTTCCTTTCCAGTTTTTTCGCAAGGTTCCTACTACTTAAGTCTTGTTCTAAAGTCGTAGTCTTGGTTCTTCTTCTTCCTATGCCGTCCCCAATAACGGAGTTTGGCGACCACATTTCTTAAAGTTTCTCTGTCTTTTGCAACGTGAAATAATTCATCTACGTTCATGTTTGTCCAGTCTCGAATATTTCGCAGTCATGACTTCATCTTTCTACCTATTCCCTTTTTGCCTTCGACTCTACCCTGCATGATGATCTGCAGAAAACTATGTTTATTATTCCTCAGTATGTAACCAAGGTATGCAGTCTTGCGTACTTTTTTTGTTCTCAACAATTTTTTGTCTCGGCCCATCCTTCTCAGCACTTCCTCATTGGTGATCCTGGCAGTCCATGGAATTCTTTACATTCTCCGGTATATCCAAAGTTCAAAGGCTTCAAGCTTCTTAACTATTTGCGCTTTTAACGTCCATATTTCTACCCCGTACGATAGTTGGGACCAGACGTAACATTCAACAAACCTCAGTCTTAGCGCAGTATTCAGATTTTTATCACAGAACAATTACTTGAATTTTAAGAACGCTGCCCTTGCCATTTCTATTCGTACCCTGATCTCTTGGTCTGGATCTAATTATGTGTTGATGTAAGCTCTCAGATAGTCACTCTCTCTATTTGCTGTCCACCAAGGGTTAGTTGTTCATTATTTATTGGTCTCCTTGATACTATCAACAATTTGGTCTTATCTGTATTGATGTCAAGTCCCATTTGAATGCATTCACTACTGATTGCATCTAGTTTGTAGTTCTTCTATACTCTAAGCTGTAATTACCGTGTCATCTGCAAATCTCATGGTGTTTACGATTTCTCCACCAATTCTTATTCCCTCTTTTCTTTCCCATAAGGCTTCTCTGAATATAACCTGTGAGTACACGTTGAAAAGCATCGGAGACAAGACGCATCCTTGTCGGACCCCTCTTGCAATCGGTATATTATTTTGTTTTTATATCGTTAACCTTTACTACTGCTTTCTGGTTCCAGTATATAGCCTTATTAAACTCAATGTCTTTTGTGTCTAAATTGATGTTTTTTAGTTCTTATATTAAAATCATGAATGTGTTGCTTGTGTGAATCCATTTCAAATAGGTATAGAAATAATAAATAAGACTTACTCACAATCAATTTAATTTAACTATCTGACGACCGGTTTCGCTTTCTACAATATGCAAAGCATCCTCAGGTCTCGATACAAAGTTAAACAAATGATGCCGGTACTCTATTAATTGATGGATGGTAGAACATGGTCGAAACTACTATATATTGTTGAATGGAGAACTCAATTCTATTATTGCAGTTGTTTGATAGTAAACGGGAAGTTCTTGAGGAGATAGATTTGATCCAATGAAGAAGAGATATGTGTGTGATTGTTTGTAAAATGAAAGTAATGTAATATATCATTGTGTTATTAAAAGCTATTTATACTTATTCGAGAGATATATTTTTGAAATGTGTGTTATTTATTGAGTAATTGTTTTAAGAAGGTGACAGTTTTATGACAATGAATAAGTTTAGATATAAAATTGTGTGGGTGTGCAATTATTTTCAAACCTGTAGTTATCAAATTACTTTGATAAAGTTCTATTGGCAATTAGTAAATTATTGGAAAGTCCAGTGAATAAAATATTAAAATACAAACAATTAAGGACAACTTAAACACACTAAAACAGATAACACTTAGAAGGGACGAAACAAACATTAAAAAGGGGGAAGGGCTTTAATGCACTACATCGTAGTCTTGAGCACAACACACATTTCAAAAATATATCTCTCGAATAAGTATAAATAGCTTTTAATAACACAATGATATATTACATTACTTTCATTTAACAAACAATCACACACATATCTCTTCTTCATTGGATCAAATCTATCTCCTCAAGAACTTCCCGTTTACTGTCAAAACAACTGCAATAATAGAATTAAGTTCTCCATTCAACAATATATAGTAGTTTCAACCATGTTCTACCATCCATCAATTAATAGAGTACCGGCATCATTTGTTTAACTTTGTATCGAGACCTGAGGATGCTTTGCATATTGTAGAAAGCGAAACCGGTCGTCAGATAGTTACATTAAATTGATTGTGAGTAAGTCTTATTTATTATTTCTATACCTATTTCTTATATTAACTTCATATGCTGCACTTAGTCAAATGCCTTCCTAAAGTCTTGGTTAGAGTCATAGTTTCCGCCCCATATATCATGGCCGGTAATACGCATTAGTTAAATATTTTTCTTTTGAGGCTAATTGGTATATTGGCCCTAAGTGTGTCCCGCAGTTTTCTAAAGGTCTTTGAATTCCGCATGTTTGGGTATCCCTGCTGATTCTTATATTTCATGACCTAAATACGTATATTTCTTCACCAGCGAATAGTTAAATGGTTACTGGGGCCATATTTGTCATAAACTTAGTTTTGGTCAAGTTCACTGAGGCTCACCTTCGAACATGCAAAGTCCATTCATTTAACATATCTGTGGCTTTTCCTAAATTACCTGCGAAACGGAGATGGTTAAGCTTTTCACCGTCTATTGTTACTCATCTGTGGCCCCAATTAACCATCTTAAAGGCATAATCTATTCCGTTATGAATACTTTTGGTGACAATGTATCTCCTTGCCTTTTCTCACGTTTTATTTTTATTGGTCGAGTTTTATCATGTATCTTAACAGTTAATTTTTATAAATTTTATAAATAAGTTCATTATACCAATGGTCAATCATGTCGTCATTCATCGCTTCTATACGGCTGTATATGTCGATCATGTCGAACGCTTTATAAAAATTTATGAAAGAAAGGAGAGTGTCTTGTGCTGTATGGAAGTGATATTGGTACCATAATCTAAACAGAATCCTATCTGCTCTCTTGGTTGATAGAAATCAAATTTTTTCTTCAATCTTGATGTCACTAACCTATTGAAGAGGTTGTATATGTGGTTCAACAGGCTAATAGGTCTATAATATTCTAGGTCTATTCTATCTCCTTTTTTATGCAAAAGGATGGTTGTAGCATTATTCCATTCTTTGGGCAACTCTCTGTACTGCAAACAGATTAAACAGTTTCCTTAATACTTTTAATATCATATCTTCTTCATTTGCAATAGCTTTTATTGCAATGCCATCCTCTCCTGGGGCTCCTTTATCTCTGGGATTACTTCGGAACCTTGATTCGTGATCTTCTTTGAAATGGCTGTTTGTATTCCTGTTTGATCTTCCCGTCTACTTTCATATAATTCCTCGTAAAACTCTTCGACGACCTGTATGACATCGTCTCTATGTGATATTATTTCATCTTGCTTGTTTCTTAATTTATAAATTTGGCATTTCCCATTTGTTAGTTTTCTACGTAGAAGTTTTAGTCTGTTATTTTTCTCTGTAGTGCGTTTAATATTTCCCTTTTATTCAGTTCTCGTAGAGTATGGCTACAAATGATGACGATACCCACATCATTTAAATATATCAAATTTTAATATATAATTAATTACATTTATTACCAAAACAAGTTCATACAATTTATATTAGTTTATCCTTCATAAAATTTAATTTATGTTATATATTAAATTTATTTGCAAAAACAAGTACAACATAATTTCCAATATTTCTCCGATAGTGTGCGAATTGGTTTTCGAGTCACGAAAGTTTTGATAAAAAATTATAATTACAAAATCAAACGTGAGTACATTCTACATCATTGCATAAAATATGGGAACTATATATATTTTATTTTACAAAAAACAACATCAATTACCGCAATAATTTTATTCGCAAAAAAATATGTGTGTGTTTACGATATATAAATGCATTGGAAAAATCAAACAGGTATTTCAAAACAGAGGCTATGTTCTATGATATAGCTATTAACTTCTTCTTCTTATTATTCTTTTTTTGAGCTATGTCCTACACAATTTGCCCAGTTTACTTCGAGGATAGACACTTTTTGTCTTGCTTCAGTAATCAGTGTCTACCTACAATTATACTCTTCTTTTGGTTGTTTTGGGTTATTCTACATGCATACGTGTGCTAGTATTTTTTTATATTCTTCACAGCTAAAATTTTAGTGAGACAACATAACAAATGTATAAACTTTTCTCGCTCGGGGGTAGCCTCCAAGCTTTACACATGCCTGAAATGCTACCGACGGATAACGTAGAAGCACCCAGGACTGAAAGAAGGAAGATCATAGTTTATAATTTTATATTGAAGGTAGAAATAAAGTTGCGTAACTTGTTAATTGTATTTTCATTCATATTTGTGAGGATTGTGCAAATATTTATGAGAGTGGGCCACATAAAATTGTAAATTCAGTACGAGAGTCAATAAGCGCAGTAGATATATTGTCATAAAATATTTCGATTTCTTCGTCTGTATGATCTGTTGTTGAAGCGTATATTTGGATAATTTTAACTTGATATTTACTGTTCAACTTCAGAACAAGATATGTCACTGTAGATGATATACTTTGGATGTTTATTAACTGGTTCGCGTGGTTTTTATGGACAAATATACCTATGCCTCCAACTGATGTATGAGATATGCCCTGACTTCAGTGTTTTTAAAGTTTCACCTATCTTTCTAACGTCGCTGATACCTATGACATCCCATTTAATTTCATTCATTTCAGTTTCCATTTCTGTGAATCTCCCTTTGGGCAGTAACTTCTGGCATTGTATGTACTAACGTAAAAAGTTATGGGGTTTTTGGGTTTCCGTATAGTCAACTTTTTGTCCCCCTCAGAATCCTTGGGACAGATTTTGGACGCATCCTACTCACCTGGGGTAAATCTGTATTTGTTTTAAAATCTGACATCGCGGTTTTAAGGAGTATATTAGCATTTAAAGACCACGTCTGCCAGACGGGTTGATGAGTGTACGCAGAATCACAGCCGGTTAAATTAATTGCGACTTTGTGGTGCAGCAGTTGTGAGCAATTGTATTCTTCAGCCACGGGCTACTAATGACATAGCCGCGAGCCTATAATGTGATGTCCTCAATTGATCCACGGGTACTTATCTGGCTAAGCCTTAATCGTACCTGGCCTGCATATCTACAGTAACTTCCCTATCAGTAATTGGGACGCGCTGTGTCGGGGTTGAGGACTCAGTCCAGTCTGTCTTGCGCAGAGTACTGAAGGACCCCTATATTAGTTCAGAGTCCCTGCTTTACGCAAGCTGAAACCAGCGCGGTAAAGATTAACTAATTGAAAATAATAATAATACTAAAAACAATATTCATTAAAATCATACAACAAATTTGATTCAATATCTACATAAATATATATAAAGTGAAGTCAGATGTATTTTTCTTTCTACGCGAAATTTGATAGATTACGTCAAAATAAGGGATCTTTAAATAAAAGTTCCCTGGTCTGTATTTAATGTAAATACTGGCGGCGTTAAGAGGAGTGAGACAGGGGTGCATAATTTCACCACTGATATTCAATCTGTACTCGGAGCACATTTTTTAAAAGGCTCTAAAAGATATTAATGAAGCAATCAACAAAGTCATCATAGCCAGAATGATCGCTAACAAGAAGAAGACAAGCGGCGTTTATTTTATTAAAGCACAGTAAAAAAATAAAATTCATCTCCAATAACTCTCTATTTATTTTGGTGATCGTAGCTTTCTTTGTTGGTCATAGTGTGGCGCCATCTATTAGTTATACTGCAATTTAAAATGACAGACTGTTTTTAAGTTCTTTCCGTACATTTTTTTTTAAATTATCTTTTACACAAACCTTTTACCAATAACAACAAACACAACAAAAAGGAATTATCAAATTGGGTGCAATTGGGTCGTTCTAAAGTGATTCCCATACAAACATTTCGGCGATTCATTTTTATTAATATAGATATAAAAAATTTATATTTATTTAGATGTGAAATTAACCATAATTAATTACTATTTAACTGGGAATAAGCCACAATTAAAGATAAAATTACGTTTATTGACGTTTCAATTTCCACTTCGGAAATCGTTCTCAAAATACAAACAGTAAATTTTGTAGAATTATTAATTTACTGTTAGTATTTTGAGAAAGATTTCCGAAGTGGAAATTGAAACGTCAATAAACGTATTTTTATCTTTAATAGTGGCTTATTCCCAGTTAAATAGTAATTAATTTACAATGCCACAAGAAAATAACTTCAGAACAATATTAACCATAATATTAAAAAAAGAAATAAAAAATTCTAGAGACGGGATTCTATCCGACAAATAATTTATTATTACCAGACGATCGCTGGGTTCTACAATAATAGGTTTTAAATAAAAAATAATACACAGATTAAACTAATAAATCATACGTGACAACTCGTGACAAGTAAGGAGTCCCTAAATTTTTTTCGGTTTGGAAACGTTCACTCTTTTGTTCGAAAAATGTTTCGTAATATTTTCTGGTAATAATTTGATATTAAATTGGACATTGTATGTAAATTAGGTGGATTTATCCATACACTGCTATTTGGTTTTACCACAAAGTAATCACATATTTACGAATTTTAATTCTTAATTGATTTCGTTTCTTCGTTTTGTATTTTAAGTCTGGTATGATTTTTTGTTTTTTACGTATACAAATTAATACATAAATGCATACGAAAATTTTAGAATGGGTTTTGAGGTAGTCAAGAAGACAATATTCTACAAAAATGGTTCACATAAACCAAATCATTTGATATTTGATCACATACAATCATAGGAAAAGTTAAGACATCGTTTTTGTGTTAAGTGGCCTAAAACATTATCAGAAATACTTTGTTTCTTCTTTTTCAGTCTTCTTCATGTCCTAAAGATGATTGGCGACCACTCTGGCAAATTCCTCGCGGTTTCTCGCTGCTCTTAGGCAGGCAATAGATTAAATTTGCTCTACTATCCTATGTTGTTGACCCAAGACATCTTTCTTTGTCCTATTCCTCCTTTTCCTCGTTCTATTCATCCCGTTTCTTTCGTACTTCCCATGATAATTAGCTGTAGTCCTGAGGTTTTCCTTTCCTGCCTAAAAGTTTTCCTTTATCATAAACACTGTCTTCCTTGATCTTGTTCTTACTTACCACCATTATTTTTGTTTTATTTGTATTCAGTGCCATTCCATACCTTTCGCAGTATTGGGTAATACGATCAACCAAGATATGTAGTCCTTCTCTGCTGTCCGCAAGGAGTATTGTGTCATATGCGTATCTAAGATTAATCAGAAGTGCTTCGTTAATAAATTAATATGCCTTCATATCCCTGTCTTACTCCACAATGTATAGGTATTTCTTTCGATTTTTATTGGTCTATTCGTATTATGGCTTTCTGATATCAGTATTGATTGGCAGTGATTCTCACGTTTTCGTCATCTAATTCTGTGTTCTACAGTATTTTTGCCATTCTTCGGTATTGAACTATGACGAAAGCTTTTTCGAAATCGACTAGACATATGAATATGTCGCAATTGACATCTGGACATCGTTTGATTAGTATTTGTACAGTAAATAATGCTTCTCTAGTGTCAAAGCGTTTTATGAATCCCAATTGATTTTCAGCTATTCTATCATCCAGCTTTTTATAGATACGTTCGTGTATCACTCGTAAGAACACTTTTAGAATATGGTTCATTAAGCGAATTGTCTTGTGCTCTTCACATTTCACTGCATTTGATTATTTTGGTATTGGAATGAATATTGATATTAACCATTATTTCGGAATTCCACCCGTATAATAAACGTCATTAAATAATTCTATTTGTGTTTGCATATGATTTTTTGTTAATATTCTTAAGATTTCTGTAGTTATTTCATCTGGTCCCATGGCCTTCTCCTTTTTTATACTTTTTAGCGCTTTCTCAATTTCGTCTTTGGTGATTGGTGGCCCATTTCTTCCTCTTGGTTCAATGACCTCAATTTTCTCGTCGTCTTCGAATAGCTCTTTTATGTCGTCTTCCCATCTGTTTATTTTTTATTCCATTATTATCTTGTTATTTTTATCTATGATGTTTCTGATACCCTTCTTCTTGTATATGCCAGCTGTCTCTTCGATTTTAAGGTGTATGTTAAAACTGTCATGTTGTTTATCTAACCTATTTCTATACACTGTTCTGATAGCCACAGTTCCTTAGCTTCTCTAGAGTTTCATTTGGAAAAATTGGATAAAGTGTCCAATTTTTATAACCTTACAGCAAATGACCTGATCCCAATTTGGTCACCGCTGGATGAGTAGTACGATGATACGATTTGGTATCATGTTTCGTTTAGTTCATTCATTTATCTCTACTGTCAGACGCTATAAAATCGCTGTAAAATATCGCTACAAAATACACGTTAATAATTATTTCTTTCTTGGTTATAGGAACATGTCTGTTGCATGTAGGATACTGCAAAGCGTCCCCAGAGACAACTACTATTGAAGATATAGATGTTTATTATCCAAGTATGAATTGGTCAAATATTTTTGATTGGAGAATATTAAAAGTAAGTTATATATAAACAATACATATATAAATAGTTAAATAGTTGTAGATAATATTTAGTTAATAATAGTTTTGATAACTGTGCTTTTAAAAATATGAGCCAAAATAGCCGTTATCAACGACAACAAATTCCATTCTACAAAGTATTGTTCTTGAATTAAATATTTTGTTGGAAATTAACGACAAATTAAGCTATTTTTTAATGCAAATTAACGAAACGTCAAATACCTCTTGATTTCTTGATAAAATCTTAAATGTATCAGCAAAAAATATCAGAACAATATTTTGGTCTCTGACCAAATAGTCGAGGCAATGGACCACAAAAGTCGGCGCAGTCAGACGGATTGAGATAATAGTTTGGTGCATTCGATTCGTGATGTGTCAGGAAATTTTTTAAACTAATGCGATCATGAAGAAATGAAAGATTACATTGGGAAAATTCATTTCACAGAGTTGCAAATTTTAAAAAATTTAACTTGACAAATATTGAATAAAATACCTCCAGTTTTGCTACTCGGGGTTTTGGGGATCACTGAACACAAATATTATGTCGGCGAAGATCTCCAATGTACCTGGTGCCCAGGGCAGATGGTACCTACCTCGTCTCCGGGAGTTTTCTGCAGATTCTATATAAAATCATTTAAAACTTATTTCTCGGGAGATTTTAGATGTCGCTGAACACGAATATCGTGTTGGCGAGAGTCTGCGATGTACCTGGTGGCCAGAGTGGACAACTCTTTACATTTGCTTTTTTCCAAATGCGTTTGTTTCATGCACAAATGCAATTTTTCATCTTAATTCGTCTTACTGCTAATTATAGGACAATATTATTGCTAAAAATATCAGAAAGGAATACTATCAGCCAAACTGCAACCGACTATCAGAAATTTGTTTAAAAGAGATGCTCAACATTACATGTTCCAGCAGAATACAGTGCCCTATTATACAGCCAAGACTTCCATAAAATGTTTAAGAAACCATAACGCTACTGTCCTGCGTTGGCCTGAAAATATTACCGATCTAAATCTCTAAATCTTAAAGAAATGAGAAAGGTTAATTGGTATTAACAGAAAATGGTAGATCTCACTAAGATTCTGAATCTCTGATTTTTTATTAATTAAATAATTTTCTGCAGCAATATATGCCATTTCTAAGAACCAATGAAGAAACCACCATAATTGAAGAAAACGTTATTTTATTTATAACAATCTGTCGTGCAAAGGTAAAAAATGTGCTTAGTCTCTCCGATGGAGCTTGTGCTCTGGCCTTCGTCAGCATCATTTTCCAAGCATCCCTTTCCTCTGTTGCTGTCCTACAGTTATTCAACCTCAACATCGCTCTTGCATCAGTTCCCACTTCATCTATTTACTTCTTCCTTGGTCGTCCTACTGGCCGATGTCCCTTTATAGTACTACTAAGCTTTTTACTGGGTGTTCTGTCATTATTCATTCACATAAGGTAACTTGCCTAACGTAATCTTTGAATTTTACGTAATTTGCCATAGAGGATTTTCTCTAATATTGATATAACTCGTTTAAACCTTAATCCCAACGTACGATTACTGCAACTAGATCCCAATATACTTCTCAGTATATTCTTTTAAGAGCACTATTAAGGTTATTGTTTTTTCTGTCGTAAACCATTTTTCTACATCATATATGGTTATTGGTCGTATGATAGTGATGATGTATTATTTCTTGTTGTATATCTTGTATATCTTTTGAATCCAGCCTGATACTCTCCTATGATTTGCTCTGTGATATAACTCAATCTCCTGTTTATGGCCCATGTAAACACTATCAAAGTCTAGCAAACAAAAAATTGAAAAAGTCACTCAAAGTCACGCGCCGTAACTGGTCAAAAGTAGCAAAAATCACGTATCAATAATGTCTGCTTATAATAATAAAAATACAAAACACGAACTAAAATGTTTATGTCCCTTGGATTTTTTTAATACCACCGTTTGAACAGACTTTTAATAATTATTGACGAGTTCGGCCGTGTATTTCTATTCCTTTATTCTACCCCTAGTATTTTGTTTTACCTTGTTTTATTTTGTATTATTTTATTTCTTTAAGTTTTTCGTACCGATTTAAAAGCTACACTCCTAATAATCTATTTACGTTTAAGGGTTGACCCAATAAATATTTCCTAAGCAGTTACTTGGGTGCTTTAATGAATTTTCAATAATCCCTTTCTACGATTACACCCTCACGTTTAAATCGATTCACGTAGGATCGTAAATATTTCTAAGAGTCTAAAGAGTCCTAATTAACGCAATATTTTCTAAATAATTATTTTTAAGGGAAAGAAATACGGAGCACCTAAAAAACCAGGCATGTACTTGATTAAATTGTTTCTAAATTATTTTTTGATAAAAATAACAATGAAATGGTGACATCTTTTATTATTTATTTCTTTACTTTTTTTTAATTAGACCACCAAAGATGTGGCGTTTTTTATCTAATATTTATCATAGAACTTTTATAATGTTTTTACTCAATCTCTTTATAAAACCGTTCACGATTTTAAACGTGCATAACTAAGATCTAAGTCTTTATCTAAATCATTGTAGATGACTCTAAAGGCGCGTACAGACTAGCATACGCATGCGGTGAGAAGCCACGAATATACGTGCGTACTCAAACCATTCGCGCTCAGAGCATTCGTTGAAATTAGAAATCACCGCATATGTATGCGTGCTCAAGGCGCTCGATCCATTCGTGAAAAAATGTCTGAGGAGCTGTTTATAGTTAGTACCGCGTTTGTAGTTATTAGTTTAATTAAAAAGGAAAAATAGGCGATGGTGGACGACGCATTTATATAAAAGAAGAACCCTACAAATTAAGTCCGATTTACTAGTAGATTTGGCGTTAGAACCTAAAACTGGACATTTTTAAAATTTTACACGTATGTCAGTAGAAGACTTTGAAACGCCTTTTAAATGATATAGGCCCCATAATAAAAAAAAAACGACACAGTCTTAAAAAACCATACCTGTTAAGGAACGTTGACTGATAATATAATATAGGGTTTTCTTTATACAAATCTATTAATTGCAAACATTGTTCATTTGACCACTCACCACTAAATCAATAACATGAATAAAACTCAATAAATCAGAACTTCTCTTGCAAATGCAACAAATCCCCATGCTATCCGTCTAAACTGATCGCGAACGCACACGTATGTTTCTTTGATGTGTGCTAAAAAAACCGACACCACTCTGGCTCGCAGCATGTGTGCTCAAGTCATTCGCGAGAAGCAACGCATGCGGCGAGCGGTTACGAAAATGCCGTTTACATTTGCACACTTATGTCTATTCGTGGCTGCTCACCGCATGCGTTTGTAGGTCTGTACGCACCTTAACATGCCAAATGCATCTATCAAAAACAATCGCTTCTTCTTTTTAAGTTCCATCTTCTTTCGAAGATTGCAAATCATCATGGCTATGCGGATCCTGATGACTGCCGCTCCAAATAATTCTGCACTTCTACATTCAAACCATTGCCTCAAGTTCTTAAGCGACGATATTCTTCGTCTTTCCACATTATACTTTCCTTGAATTTTGACTTGCATAATAAGCTGCAATAATGAGTATCTTTGCTTTCTCATAACATGGCCTAAGTACTCAATCCTCTCTTTAATCTTAAAATAGTTAGTAAAATCTTTTTCGCGTCTTCTTCGACTTACAGGAACAAAAATAGATTCGATGGTGTAGTTGGCGTTACTTTGTAACAACTGTCTTGTTTGGCAAATGGAACTAGTCCCGGCGGTTGTTTAAAAGAATTGTTAAAAGACGGTACCCAAAGAAAATGGAATTTTCTTTATTATTTTAATAATTAAGTTATCAAAGAGGATTAATTACACCTCATTACAGTAAGACTCCTCATTTTTATACCGAAAATTCATAAAACGAATATACCACTTAGACCCATTTGTAGTACCATGAATTCTCCTTGTAGTGAACTATCAAAATTTTTATTAAATATTTTAAAACCATTTACAAATAAAAATGACACATTCATAAAAAATACACAACATTTTTTATGAATAATACTACTTATACTAATAATACAATAATACTTTGGTAAGTTTTGACATAAATAGTTTATTTACGAATGTGCCACTAAATAAGACTTTAAGTATAGTCAAGACAAAATTAGAGAGTGATGATTCATTGGCAACTAGAACAAGACTAAACATATCGGCTAAAATGGAGTTATTAACATTATGTACTGATAATACATATTTTCAACTAAATAATGAATTCTATAAACAAAATTTTGGTTTAGCAATGGGCTTTAGTGTATCTCCATTCTTAGCCGATATATTTATGGAAGATTTTGAAACAAATATCATTTCTAAACAAAATTTAAAACCCACAGTATTGTGGAGGTATGTAGATGATTTATTCTCAATATGGCCTCATGGATCAGAGTTGTTGGACACATTCCTAAATGATATAAACGATAAAGAAGAGACAATAACATTTACCATGGAAAAGGAATATAATAACACGCTACCTTTCCTGGATGTTTTAATCTCTAAGAATGATACTGGATATAAGACTCAGGTGTATAGAAAACCAACACACACCAATAGATATTTAAATTTCCCATCAAATCACAATATTAATGTAAAAAAGGGAATAATTAAATCCTTATACGATAGAGCCAAAATTACTTGTTCTAACGAAAATTCGTTCTTGGAGGAGAAACATTTGTTAACATCTGTTTTATTAAAAAATGATTATCCTTTATCGTTTATAAATAAAAAATTTTTAACAATCGATCGAATAGAACAGAACAACTTAGAACTAGATCCTACAGCATACACAAGGAATAATACGAGGAAAATAACAATACCGTACATAAAAGGATCATCAGAAAAACTTAAAAGGATAGGAAATAAATTCAATATTTCAACAACATTCAAAACAACAAACACGTTGAGATCTATTTTGTCCAAAACCAAACCTAACAATGAACAAGAAAGGAC